GGGGAGGGAGGGAGGGAGAGAGAGAGAGAGAGAGAGAGAGAGAGAGGGCGAAAGAGAGTTGCATCGGTGAAAACATATACCAAATAGGGCACATATTTTTAACATTAAATAATATCATCGCCATTAGGGCTGGCAATGGGCCGAGGCTGGACCGGGCAGCCCTGGTCCTAGCCCTAGCCATATCAAGGCTGGGCCATATAAAATCAACATAAAAATAAACAGAAAAACAAAGAAAAAGAGGGTCAGGCTGGGCCAAACGGCTGGGCTGCCTTGGCCCAGGCCCGCCTGTGCCCTACCTCAGGCCATAGTTCCCGGCCCCCGGTCCACATTATGTGGCCCAGGCCCTAGTTTTTGAGGATTGGGCTGACCAGGCCAGGGGGCAGGCCATTGCCACCCCTAATAGCCATGGCAAACAAGAGATTAATAAAGTCTTCAATGATGCTAAACCTATGGGCATATCGCAAGGAGAGACCTTATAAAATGGGGGGAAAGTACCTGCATAGATCTCTGTGCCATGTTGGAACATTCTTGTACGTCAGCCTGGCTGTAACATCGAACATGATAATGGCACACTGCCCATGGATGCTGCAACGCATGAAGGTAATATCGTTGTTAGGAACTGAACAGCCATTCAGTAGTTAAAAAGCAATTTACACAACGAAAAACTTCAGGGCTTGTGTGCGTGTGGGCAGCAGCAAGTTCCAAATTCCAAAGTTAAATAACGTGAGAGCAATAAAGTTAACCCAGGAACCATGGATTTTGGGTTTTTAGTAAGGGAAGGTGGCAGGCTGCCATTGTATTTGTCCTCCCCAATTTCAGGCATCCTAGGTTAGACCACTGTAGTTAGGGCCGAAAAATGTTTTTCCTATTAAGAATTATGGGTTTTATTAGAATTAGTTCTCTATACAACAAGAAAAGATAATGTAAACTTGAGACAACACGACGGCTTTGCATTTCTTTCTCCTTGTCAATAAGAATAACCAATCCACAGACAATGTTTGAGCCCCTACACTCTGGAGTAACAGAAATTAAATTCCTACTCAATCTATATTATTGGATAAAATAACCAAAATTATACTGTGAACATTTTTGTCCATAACATCAAATTGTGATATTAAAAATTTGAATTCCTACTCGAGTTTTTTTAGAAGAAAACTTGATATGGTTTTTCTATCTACAAAAAAAGTAAAAATACATTTCCTTCAAATACTTAAATGGATCATTAAATGTATGTCTAATAAATATTGATGCAACAAAAGACTTGGTAATTTCCTTCACTTCTATGCATCAAATTGGTTAACCACTTAGATGCTATATTCAACTTAAGAGGTAACCCTCCAGCTTGAGGGATATCAACTCCCCAGTGGTTCGATTGCATGTTGCTTTTCAGCATTGGCAATCTATATCCACTCTCCCTAATATTTAAAGAGACATAAAAATTCATCCTTCAGAATATGATAAACCTACACACATCATTAGCTAGAGTAAGGTAGATTCCCCTCCCCTTAAAGGCTTAAATAACACTAAAAAACTTCAGCATGCTACATCTCAAGCAATGCATGTCATGAAACATATCCCCCCCTTACCAGAGAAACCAAGGTAATCCCAATTTTCATGGAGTTTTCTGACAGATGTACTACAATGTATGAGACAACTATCTCCTGTAAAGTCTAACCTTACTTTGAGATTTCCGTCTCTCACCATAGAATGATGAAAGACAGCATCAGCAAAATGCTCTTCATAATTTCAAGTGAATATGTAAGGTACTCAGCTTTAAACATAAAGAAAACCAAATAATTAACACTCCAAGGACCGTAAAATACTTCCCCAGCCGACCACAAATGATCGGGATAAGGCTTGGATCATGACGATAATGATGAATTAAAAGTTACTACCTCACATGTGATGATGCAACACATAACCCCAAAAGGAATATGGTTTCCATAAAGAACCATTAATTATCAGTCGTAACCCAGTACTGGTAGCACAAATCATTACCACCTGATCTTCTGCAGTCCCACTAAAAGTGAAACATTTTAATCACATCTCAGCATAAAGAATCTCTACGTCATTTTCCTATTTAGAAACCTTATTTTAGGATTTCCATCTCTCACCATAGAATAATGAAATACAGCATCAGCAATATGCTCTTTATGATTTCATGTGAATGAGTAATGTATTCATCTTTAAAGCAAAGAAGACCAAATCATTGAAACCCCAAGGACCATGAAAAATTTGCCACCGTAACTAAAATTTAGCTCCTCACATATGATGTATGACACAAAACAAGACTCCATTCACTCCAAGAGAATGGTTCCATAAAGACCTGTTAACCATCGTTCCTTAATGCACCATGTATGTATTTATTTTCTTTTATTTTCTTTTTTTTTCATTATACAAGAATGCACTATGAATGCATCTCCTTGTTTGAATAGCCTTTCCCTTAAAAAGTTTGCATCATCATTGATATCACGCTACCAAGATCCATCCTCTGTTCTAAAAGCGGTCCCCATCATTACACCATCCCTCTTCAGGTTGTCCCCCAAAGAATCAATAGGACTCACATTCCCAATAATGCATCTTTTTCTTATGTGTCTAGGGACTGTGGCGATAGTGTCAAAACCTTGACCAATCCGGCCAATCTCGAATCATGTTCCCAACAATGGATCTTTACCATTCATCACGTGCGTTTGTCCTTGTCAAACTAGAGCATGAGAACATCAATCAAGGAAGTACACATATAAATCATCGTGAATAAACTCATTCCATGAGAATTTATCTCCAACAATTCAAGATAAAATTAATGTACGAAGAAGACACCTAATGCAAAAAATGACACAAGGACTTACTCTTTTCAAACCTCATGCCACTCAGAAGCTACATTACAAAACTTCAAGCATGTAAGTAGTTATTTTAGAAGTCACACGGCACCATCATCAACCAAAAAGAAAATTAATATTTGTCACTTCCATAATTTTTCATCCTGAATGTTTCAAGAAATTTCCATCCATATATTAGAGGACCATGATACACATTAAGGGAAACGACACATAACACTCTAAGGAGGGCTCTTTAAATTGTGACTATTGCTCATCAAATGGATCACCATCATAGTCCATAATTATCACATTTACCTCCAAACATAACAGATCACTAATATAAAGCTTTCAATACAAGCAGTCACAAATTGGTGCAGCAATCACCAAAATATGCCTAAAACAAAATGTGTGAAGAAATACGTTGAAAGTCAAGATTTTTCATTTCTTGTAGCAAGTTTGCAACATAGACACATTGTATAAAATTATGTTTTACATCTCCATCCCATAGGAGCCAATGGACCCATGCCACAAGGAATCATCAGTAACCATGTTGTGTGAAGATCATTTCAGATAGGTTTAATAAAATAAAATATTATACTGCAACATTCCACATACATATTCATATGCATTGTAAGAATATCTGTCCGAAAAATGCAGGATTACCAAGCAACTGAAGAAGCGGAATATCATCACCAAAGAAAACAAAAATAAAATAAAAAAGAAAAGAGAAGTAGGATATCTCAATAAATAATAAATGAACGACAGATGGTTCCAAAATTATACTTACTAGTAACCATCTCTGAGACCACCAAATTTCTCCTGACCAGCTGTATCCCAGCAATAAAATCTGATCTTTCCGCAGTTTGTAAAGAAGTCCAGTGGATGAACCTCGACACCAATAGTTGCTGAAACAGGATTAGCGAAATACATGAATTTACAGCCAATCACCCTAACAAGTTTTAAAACTTAACATTCAACTTCTTATAAAATTCTATAGCAGTGGAAAATCAGAGAAACTTACTTTTCAGAAGATGAACCGAAAACAATAAAGGAAAAATTAAAAAATAAGATAAAATATTTTGGGTCTTTCTATCCTATTACACGCATAAAATCACAAAATCAAATCAGAAAATCTCTTTTAATCCACAGATTACAAGCTCTTCAGTTCTGCAGATTACAAGATCATCACTTACTTCATTCAAATGTGTATCAATCCTTGAAGACAGGATCCAGAAAAAAAAAATTGCAATAACACAAAAAAAGTAGACTAACAAAATAATAATAATTTAAATCACAAAAACATAGAAAGAAAAGGGTGACTCAAATACTTACGTTCATACTTCTTCTCGAACTCTCCAGTAATATGCCTCTTAACAAAAGTTGTCTTCCCTGAAACAAGATTTAATCCAGAATGAGTAAAAAACTCGCATAAAAAAACCTCAAGATTCAAATCCAAAATGAGTAAAAAATCACATAAAAAACCCTAAATGATCACCCTAAATGATCAGACCCTAAAATGATCAGAATTGAGCAACATTACCAGTTCCTCCATCACCTACAATCACGAGCTTAAAGTTGGGATAATCAACCTGTTGCTGGTTTGGTAAAGCCTGAACATCAAAATAACACATCAATAGCAACCCTAGTCAACAAAAAGTGACACAAAAAGGAAGCTATGAAGGATAACATCAATAGAAAACCCGATCATCAGAAGACCCTAAAAAACGAAGCGAGAAGATTCAGAAGAGAGATTAAAAACGAAAGAAAACCGACATGAGCAAGCTCTCACCATGTTTTCTAGAGTGAGAAGGTACCACAGGGAGAAGCAGCTTCTGGAGAGAGAAGGAGAGAGGAGTTTAAATTCTGGAATTTTAGGGACGCGTTTTGTCCTTATATTGGGGTTTGAAACCAATACTTACTAGCTTAATATGGACGCGAGAATCCTGATCGTCCGATTTATGTCGATCCTTTTTTGTACGGATAGATGCAACAGAACGGCGGCAACGAATGTCCGCCGTTCGATCTCCTTTGCTGTTTGTATTTGAAAGGGCAAATCTCCTCTGGAGCCCGAACCTTTTGAATAAAGTACCGTAGAATTAAATTTTCTAAAAAAATGAAAAATTACAGCAGGTTGGGTCCTCATTTTTTCATATTTTACATCAAGGTCCTTTTTTTTATTTTTTTTAATTTTAGTTGTTTTACAACCCGTTTGATGTTACAAATATCAAACTATTTTAATGATTATTTTTAATATTTTTGGGGTAATCCAATGTCCCAAATATCAAATTGATACATTTATAGAGCGGTCTTATATTAAAAACATCAAATCACCTACTTTTTTTTCTTTCTTTTTTTTGACATATACTGGTCTTAAATATCTAAATGTTACCCCATTAACAAAAAAAATTTGGGCAATCCGAAATCTTTAACATTGAACGGGCCTAGTAATAATTAATGTACTAATACTCAAGGACCTTGTGTTCTAGGTGGTCTTAATGACCCCAAATACCCAGTATAGGAGTTTGAACGTGTTGTTATAGTGCTCCAAATGGTAGTTAACTAACGTGACTTTTTGTTATATACCGTGCGTTGGAGGGAAGCACTTATGGTTTGTTCCTTTTGGGGTTGGGTAGATTACCTATTACACAATTCTTGGAATATTAGTTATTCGCTTGTTCGATGTTAGAGATATTCGACTTGCTTTTTTTAAAAAAATACAATTCAATGTTGGTGAAAGCATACCGGTATACTTAAAAAAAATTATGATATGGGGCAAGTTGGTGCTTCCAATATCAAATAACCCCGGAGATTGTCGGATATCTAGGGCATCGGATGACCTTAAAAACAACAATAATAAGATACGTTTGTCCGATATCTAAGCCATTGGACAACCTCAAAAACAACATTAATAAGTAAAACTAAAATAGTTGTGACATCGAAAATACAAAAAAAAGAGGGACCTCCATATAAAAATCTCAAAAAATTTGGACTAAGCCATGATTGTGTTAAAAAGCCTTGTTCCTGTATAATTTTTCCTAAAAAAAATTAGGAAAATGTGCCTCACCCTCAAGAAATGTTGGGTTTATGTGACTTTTAAAGGCCTTTTGAGTGCTTGCAAAATGAAATAATATAGTGGAACATGAACTCAGTGGGAGTGTGGTCTCTCGTGGACCATACTAACCAAACGATGGTTTGCTGATACTGATATGTGTTTAACGATCTAGGTCAGTCGATTGGGAAAAACCCATGTTACCTGGGCATGAAGAACAAACCAATGAGGGTTTATGGGTTAGCCCTTGATGAGGTCGAAGAACATGCCCGGATGAGTGAGCCGAGGGACTGTGTGACCCTTGTGTGTGATGGTGCTCTATTGAGACGGGGGCCAAAACCTCATCCATGTTCCATCACACGGCATGTATATTGATAGATTGTTCGGGAAAGCCAGATATCTACCTTTGGGTGAAGCGCATGCATGTACGAGAGATACCCCTATGCGCCAAAGAGCTGTAGTCGCATCAGGTCGTGGTGACATTGACTCGTCTCTATAGGAGGACCTGAAATCCATATACTAGGATTACGATCCCTTGGCTCATCGGGCAAACATTGGTGACTTGCTAATGAGGCCCTGCTTGGATTGTGGGTCATGGGAATACTGGGTCGGTCTGATAAAGCAAGTGTGGTCTGTAGTCCACAGTTGAAGGTGGAGTGCCCCATGATTATTGATTCCTAAATCATATGGATCATTTTCTCATCAAATTCATTTAACTGTGTTTATTTTATGATGAAAATTATTTTAAGATTATTATTTGAATTTTTATGAACCCCTGGATATTTTATTTATAATTTTTAGATTTATAAAATTAAATATATTGATTTTACAATTGTTTAAATATTCAAATAATATTCTAAAATCATTTTATTATTTTTAAATATATAAAAATATCATGGGAGCCCATTGTGCACATAGGCCCACCATATTTTTACGAGGTGGGGCCCATGAGCGCCTCCCTTGAATGGCACGCCCCGCCCTCATTCTCTTCCTATTTTTTGATTTGTAGCATGTGGTCAAATCTTGTAAGGGATATATTGATCATGGCTTTATCTATTTTGTAGCAAGTTTGTTTTAAAGGGATATGGTCAATTTGTATTGATATCGATCTTATCTTATTTATATTTGGTAGTATTTATCTACTAGATATTATTTGACATATCCTTATGGAATATGGGACATGGATCGTGCAATTTTATAAAATGCATGATATTTATTTTATTTAAATATATTGATGGGAAAATAGTTTAAGAAATGGGAATAATGATTCATGCACCTTCCATAATATTGATGGCTCATCTATGGAATCGATGGTTCAGATCTCTCACCCCACAAGTCATCATTGATCGATGGTCTATGTTCAATCTTACATGAAGAGGCAAGCTAAGGAAAATCCTAAGAAATTTTAATCTTATTCAAAGCCTATAAAAAGGGATTGTCTCTACCAAAAAATCTCTACACCTTATCTTTCTATCTCTCTCTCTTAAGAAAGTCTATCTCTATCACTCTTAAGAAAGTTTATCTCTCTCATGTTTGATCTATCTCTCCCACATTGTGAAAGAACCTAAGGGTTTAGGTCATAGATTTCTTCTCTCCTATCTCTCAAATATGGATTTATGGCTAAGGAATTGAAGGTTTAGCAAAAAGAAAATCTATCTCTCTCAAACTAGGTTGTTAAGATAATTCACCTAGGGTTTGAGTTTGTGATCAAAGGGGTTCATATTTCATTGTGTAGTTTGGCCGAAATTTGCTTTCCCGATTAGAGATTGAAGCTAGACCGTTGATCCCACGCCATCGGATGGTGGTGACTCAGTGTGGGGTGTAATAAACCTGCTTGAGGTAATCTCTGACACTCTTTCTTTTGTTTCTTGCAATCTTATCTTTTATTCTCAAGCATAATGCATAGTTATTTTAATGGCATCAAGTTGTTAAGATCATGGTTTTATTGTTATGCTGATTTTATTTTGAAATTTATCTTATTATAATAAAGACCATCTAGAAGTGATCTTTTGCCAAAAGAAAGGGGTCAAAAAAAAGGATAAAAGGTCACATAGGTCTTTATTTCATTGGTATCAGAGCTATTAATACTTGATGCCATTAGTTATCATTTCTCTTTATTGAGTTTAGATGAAACTTAGGAATGAAATATAAGAAAGCTAATGACCTTTGTGGTCAAGAAATACACCCACGGTTAATAATTATTGAAATATTCCAACACCGAAAAAGCACAATGCATAATGAGTATGCTGGGCTATTTTGGAGTAGAGATATGAAGAATATAATGAGGTATTTTTCCATTACATTCTTCAGTGATATTTTCTGTATTTAAGATTAGGATTTACCTACAAAATTCCAGTGGGGGATCCTATAGGAATTGAGAGTTAAGGACTCAACAATGAAGGGTGTCAGTTCTGACCCTGCAAAATCCAGGAACTGTCCTTTGAGTTCCATGATTTTTTTCCACCAATCATATGATTTTTTCTTTTTGCTAAATTTACTGTAACTCACAAAATTGAGTCTACTTTCAAGCAACAAAATTTTCATCAAGAAATTCCTTGTGGTTTAAAAGATATGATCAATTTATTGAATGGTGCGCAAGTACTGTTTTCTTTTAACGAAAATTATTTCCATGACTTGGAAGTCATGATTTTATTTCTATACTTAATAGAATGTTTTATTGTATTTTATAATAAAATTTATTTGAAAGAGGAATATCTATAGGAAGCGAGGAATAAAAATTTTAGATTGAAAAGAGGTCATCCTAAATTTTCTGCAATTTGGTATGTCTTTCATTGAAGACATGAATAGCTATATTTATCAAGCCTACTTAATAGAGTTATATAAGGCTTGTGAAGATATATATGTTACTATTATTTGTCTACTTTCAAACAAAATTGGTTTGAAAGGAAAACTCCATGATGGTAGAGAGAAAATACAATTTTACTAGATAGTGTTCATCCTGAAATTTTGCAGTATAATTTATTTTGTGACGTGAATGTCACTTATTTATTTATTTGAAGAAAATTATTATTTGGGATTCAAATTATGATGTTATGATTTGGTTTTGAGTCTAGTTTTCAACACAAAAGATTTCAAAAAGAAATTCTTTGAGAATTAAGAGAAACTATTTTTTATTGAGACGTGCTCAATCTGATTTTCTGCTGAGAAAATTGCATTGTGACCTAAATGTCACTGAAACGAAGACTGATTATATGGTATGATTTAGGAATGGAACTGAGCATTATTTTTTATTTTTGAGTCTATTTCAATGCTCAAAATGATTCAGAGATAAACTTTTCATGAGTTGAGAGATATCATATTTTTATCATGGGATGCTCAAGTTATATATTCTGCAGTAAATTAAAAAATGTGGCATGTTAAGGCACATCCTTGAATTTCCAATTATGGAGACCTTTAAGATTTACTTTAAAAGGCTTTATAGTGTGCCATGAGTATGATTTATTATAGTACAACTTCAGAGATATGTAATGCAGAGTTAGCAAAATAAGAAACTTTATATGAAGAGTATTCGATTTAGGAATAGCAGAAAGAAGAATAAATACAATACCTATAAAAACATCTTGGTTTCTTCGAAATAAAATGATATATAGAGAGACTTGGTGGTAGCATATAAACGCTAAAGATCAGTGGGAGAATTGAAATTGTTATATTTGAAATAATGGGATGAAGAAGATATTTTCTTCACTGTAAGGTAGGAGAATCCAAGTGCTGAAGAGATGGACACTTCGTGACATGTGAATTCAATGACCAATATATTCTCCATCAGTTGCATGCACTCCCAAGATCACAAAAGCTTATCAAACAAGTAAAATCAGTGAATCGAGAAAGCTCAGGT